TGGAGTGATTTTGAGTTTTGAGACTTTTGATATATTCTGGATACAGGTCCTGTGAAGTGCATGGTTTACGAAGGTTTTTCTCCTCGTCTGCAGTTTGTCTTTCCATCCTAACAGGCTCCTTCCAGAACAAAAGCTTTTAACTGTGATGAGGTCCATTTTAGTAATGCTTCCTTTCATGGATCATGCCTTTGGGGTCAAGACTAAGAACTCTGCCCAGCTCTAGAGTGCAATGATTTTCTACAAGTTTTACGCTTTACACTTAAGAAGCCTGTGGCCCATTTTAAGTTAACTTTTGTACAACATGTGAGATTTAGGTTGTAGCCCATGGCCATGGACGCCTAACTGCCCACGAGGGCCCTCTGACTTCTAAAACGGCTCCAACAGTCCCCTCCCGGTCACACACTCCTGTGTGACCCCCTCCCCTTGAGTGTCGGCTGGCCGGTGACTTGCTGCTAATCAACAGAAGTGACAGGCTGTCACTCCCGAAATCAAGTTACACAGGCCTGTGACCTCCGCCTGGCTGGCTCTCTCCCTGCTTGCTCCAAGCAAGCTGCCATATGGAGAAGCCACCCAGTGAGGAACAGAGACCATCTCTGGCCAACTGCATGTGAGTGGGGCTGGACATGGACCCTTCCCCAGTCAAGCCTGCAGATGAGACCCCAGCCCCAACCCACTTCTTGACTGCAGTCCTGCAAGAGCCCCCAACTAAGCCACAGAAACGGACATTTGGTCATTCTTGTGAGTCACTAAGTTTCAGGGAAACCTGTTGTGCATCAAGAGATGACTCGTATAGCCTCGCACTGCCTGCCTGCGTCAACCACCGGCCCAAGGAGACTGGAAGGAAGTCCCTCTGGAAACTCAAATTCTGCCTTTTCCCAAGAGTGCACACCAACACTGGGAAGCACTCTCAAAATCACCTTCAGGGCCACTGGAGGACATGTCACATGCCCCACACATGGCCTGGCACTGTCTTGAGGGGGTAGCATGCACTGGCCTGAGCCCTGGGACCCCAACCTAGGCATACCCACCCACATCTCGGCCTCCATGAAATGGCTAGAATGCCTCTGTCATCAGCTTCCTGCTTCCTAAAGGCCTGTTATTCTGCCCGAAGACCATCCCTGCCCTGAGCGGTAGTGAAGGAATGAACCGACGTGCAGGGCTGTGGTGACGCATTAAGTGGGTCTCCTGGCAACCACAGCTGCTCGTGTGGCATTCACTGTCTCCTTGAATCCCCACAGACGTCCTATGGAGTAGACACTATTACCCCACTCTTAGAGATGGGGACGTGAAGGCCCCCTCCCACAGCGGGAAGACGGAGCTGGGACTGAGTGGCAGGCCTGCATCCCACACCCCACACACAGTGCCCCTGATGCGCCAGGCCAGGCGGAGAGCTGAGGACACGTACACAGTTGGTGCCTTTGTTAGAACACAAAAGTCATCAAAGCCCTTAGTGCCAATAATTGGAGACTTGGCTTCCTATACTGCACTGAGGGAATTATTTTTCTGGAAAACTTAATGTGAATCTTTGAAATGTGAGTTTCACAAAGTGGTGTAAGGTCCAAGTAAAGCCTGCACATTGGAAAGCAAACAAAACAGCAACAATAAAGCAAAAAAACGCACAGGCACACACACACACATGCACATATGTGAGGACATGCACACGCATGCACACGTGCATGCCCGTGCACACACACACAGAAAAAACACACTAAAACCATCCTTAAATAAAATATGCAGGCCCGATGATCAAAAAGGCACACTTCCTCCCACCCAGCCAACCCAGGTTCAAAGATGACAGCTCAACTGTTGACATGCACGGTACCTACAGTCTGCCAAGCACCGTGATGGGACTCTGCCTACATGGAATAAAAGGACCTCTGCTAATCACAAGAGCCACCCACACGGGTCCCCACAGCCAAAAGTGCAGCCTTTTGGTTCAGGGAGAGACTGCTGACTCACCTGAGAGGCTCCACAGACGTCTTCCTACCAAAGGGAAAGGATCCTGATAGACCAGCAAGAAACAAGAATGGCTTTCCAATGCATGAAAAAAAGTTGGGGGACACAGGATGACAACCCTGATAAGCTGACCACGTTTACGCATGGGGAGATAGGAAAATGAATCACCAATGGGAACGAGATAGCAATCAGCCTGGAATTGTGAAGAATTAATCATGCTGGACAAACTTAATTTAGTTCTGACACTTCTTAGTTCGATGTACAAGAGTCAAGAATAAAGACGACTCAATCCTAGCCTACTGGTTATTTGTAACACTCATATAGAAAATACCAGATTATGTTAACAGCATTAAAAGGCAGAAACTAAAGTCTGAAGATTGATTTTCTTGTTGCTTAAGCGCATTCCAAGAATTTAAATGTGAGGCAAAAGCTAGTAGCCAGAATGATTCTTCTAGAACCTAAACCAGATGTCATGTCCCCTACCGCCCACCTCACTCAGCCCAAGTCTATGTGTGCCACACCCCTGCTCCAGCCAACCCAGCCTCCTCACCCTCGTATGAGACCACCCCAGTCCACTCTCTGGCCATGAGTTATGGACAAGCCCCTCAAGGCCTCCAAGTCTCCTCCTCCAACACCAGCCCGAAGGCCAGAATCTCCTCCCCAAGAGGGGCTCTCCTGGTGTGGAGTTCTCTCTGTCTGAAGACCTGTGAGCTAGAGAGACATCGAATCTGCCTTCTGTCCCCAGCCCCCGCTGACCCCACCCCCCCCAAGCACGTACATGCGTGTGCGCACACAACGCACAGCAATGGGCCAGGCCCGGGCTGCTCCAGACACCGCGGTTCAGATGGGGTGGAGGCACACGGGAACCACTGGGCCTGCTCGTGGCCCATCAGGGGACTCCATGCTTCCCGGCTCTGCCTCCGGGCTCCTAGGTCCACCCTCTCAATTACTCTTTTCCCACAAAAGGCAGCCTGTGTTTGGGGCACCTGGGTGGTTCAGTCGGTGAAGGGGCTGACTCATGATCTCTGGGTCGTGAGATCAAGCCCCACATCGAGCCCCAGGTCGGGATCCGCACTGAGTGTGGGGTCTGCTTGAGAGTCTCCCTCCCTCTGCCCCCGCTCCTCCAAAGGGGCGGGGGCAGGGGGGAGAAGGCAGGCCGGTTTGCAGCCATCCAGCTTCCTTCCCATGGGTCCTGCCAGCTGACTTGGGAGGGTCCAGGGCCCCTTTCAGCACGAACCAGCAGGGTTTCTGACGTGATTCTCTCCAGAGCTTTCCGAGCCTCCTGTGAAACTTCTCGGGCTCCGATTCCTTAAACAAAAGCCACCAGCACAGTCTCCTCAGAAGCAGCCCCTCTGGCTTGAGCTTCCGCTCAGGGACGGCTCCGGAGTTTCGTGGGAACCTGGAAGCCACTCCCGACTTTCTAAGGTCTGAACAAGTATTTCACAGCCACAGCTTCAGAGGACACCTTCCTGGCCGTCCCGGGGGCCGACCTTTGCTAGGACACCGTGTCTAAACAAGAGCCCTGCGTGTCCCCAGGAGGGCTGAGGGCCATGGAGACCAGCGAGTGCCGCTCCTCTGCACGCGAGCCCTTCCTCCGGCTCCCGCTCTGCTCTGTTCCGGCTCTGCTCGGGCCTTTCAGCCGGGGCTTCAGCAGTAAGCAGACACCTGTGGTGCTGCCTGGAATTCCGCCCAGCCCACCCAGTCCATCCTTCTCCACCTCCACCCCACACATAACAGTGCTGCTCAACTCCGTCGCCACATGGCCAGGACCCATTCTGCGCCAGCTCCTAATATTTGCACACCTTCCCACCTTCCTCCCCTCCCCCGGTCTCCTCAAAGCCCGAGGGACCCGCCCGCACTTTACTCCTCAAGCTCCTGCCCAGCTACAAAGTCTTGCCCACGTGAGGATGTTGCTAGCAGTCTACACACCAAACTCCTACCCCAGGGCCTTTGCACTTGCTGCCTTCTGAGGCAGATGGTCCTCCCAGAGACCATGTCTGTCCAAATGCCACCTCATCAGGCATCTCTCAACCAGCCTATAAAAAATGACAACTTCCCACCTCCCAGTCCTCCCCAAGCCCCCTGCCCATCTCTGCTCTTACCCCTTAACCTGACACTATACTTACAGTCTTCTTTCCCCAGTAGAGTGTGAGTGCAGATTTTGGAGCACCCTGTCTCCTGCAGGTCTCCCAATACCAATAGAACTGTGCCTGACACAGTATGGGCTCAACAAAGTGAACAAGGAAGGGCTCCCCCGCTTTTGTTTTTTTAGGATTTTTATTTATTTGACAGAGAGAGATAGCGAGAGCAGGAACACAAGCAGGGGGAGGGGAGAGGGAGAAGCAGGCCTCCCACTGAGCAGGGAGCCCGATGCGGGGCTCGATCCCGGGACCCTGGGATCATGACCTGAGCCGAAGGCAGACACTTAACAACTGAGTCACCCAGGCACCCCAGGAAGGGCTCCTTTTGAAAGACCTTGAACAAAGCTGGCAAAACCCATCCTTTGCTTGAGATAACGTCAGCATCATGTCTGAGGGACCATTCTTAGGGCACGTGGCCGTGGCCTAGTGGCCATGTCTGTAGGCCAAGTTTCCAGGGGTCAAGTGCATAACTACAGAAGACACGAGGTGGTCAGGGCTGCCCCTCGAAACCCAGGTCCGATGCTCACTCTGCTCCAAGGCAGACTGCACAGCCCTGGTCTGTCTCAGGAAACACGGAAAGGCCCTGCCACTCACCCCAGCTGCTGAATGAGCATCAAACCCCGTTAAGTCTGCTGGGCACACGCCAAATGTGGCCAGGCTCTGCAGTCACAGGACATCCGGATGTGACTCTGGCCCAACCAAGATCCTCCATCAGAGCTCCAAACCTATGAAATAAGGTCCTCCTCACTGGGCAGAGTTCAATGAGCCAGGGCCATGCTTCCTTCACCACCGTGTGCTGTCCTCCCCGTGCCACTCGGTAAGGACAGATACTTAGGTCCTTCAAACGCAGGAATTATCTCAGCAGGTAGCCTATTTGGCAACGTAATAAATCAGGTAAGAAGGTTCTTTTTATTTTTGTAATATCATTCCATACAAAAGCAATAGAAACATAACAGTCTTAACAAGAAGTTTACAATTGAATATTTGAACAGAAAATCTGTACACGTTATCATTTACAGCAATTTTACATGGTAAATTAAATGACTGTAAAAAATGTTCTTTCTAAACCCCTCTGCTGCCTTAACTCTTGGAGTATTACAGGTAGAAGGCCTACCTAGCGCTATTTACAAGTACCAAATTAAGACTGTGTAACTTACATAAAATCCCTTAACAGCTCAATTTACTACCTTCGACTATTCAGTGCTCTGTAGGAGGGAAAAAAAACACACCTTGACGTACTGACAAAAGGGCCCAAAATTAAGTTTCCATAAAGATACTAAAGTTATCCAATTATGAGAATACTCAGCTACCAGTAAAGAAAGCTGATGCATGACTGGCCCCATGAATGTGCGACTAACCCCAAACCAGCCATCTGACAAGTAACAACTTAACGTCTAACATACTGGTAGAAAACCAGTTAAAATATGCTTGTCAAGTTAACTTGGATGGTAGAGATTAAGCAACTAAGTTTTCAAGACTGCGTCAAGTTCAATTTTCCTTGGATTTAGTTCCACATACAATTTAAAACATGCAAGATACATTCACTATACATAAAATTAACGTTTCTTAAGATAATAAGGCAAGAATAACAATTCACCATGAGATAATGCGATAATGAACCAGGAACAGAAACCATCCGGTTACCAACACAGGACACATGCTCGTCCGGCCCCCAACCTGCCAGGTGGAGGCAACTCTCGCTCCCAGTGGCCTCCAGGTGGCATCAGTTAGCTCATGGCTGAGAAATCTTTCAAGGGCTCAGTTAAACAAGCTTCCAAATCAAACTCGTCCTCCACTCGGCAGTCCACGTGCCTGACTTTAGTGGGTGTGCCAGAGTACACGTCCTAGAAGACAGGAGCACAGTCAGGGCTAGCTCCCAAGACACAGGGGACTTGCTGCTGGTGGCACGAAGCACAAGGCTGCGCACCACCCCCCTACCAGGGGGCGACCACCGCCTCCCTTGCCCACAGCGCGACAGGACTAAGATGGAGCATTACCAGCAAAGGTCTATGCGTGCCGGAATGCTCCTGGGAGAATTCAAAACAATTACCTAATTAAAATTCACGGATAACATCAATCTTTCCTCTACGTGGGTATATCAAATCCCTACCCACCAACCAATCCATTAGAAACTAACGGACCCTGGGCGCCTGGGTGGCTCAGATGGTTGGGCGTCTGCCTTCGGCTCAGGTCATGATCCCAGGGTCCTGGGATCGAGTCCCACATCGGACTCCTTGCTCAGCAGGAAGCCTGCTTCTCCCTCTACCTCTGTAACTCAACTACCCCTGCTTGTGCTCTGTCTCTCTCAAGGAAGTAAATAAAATCTTTAAGAAAAAAAGTTACTTTTACAATGAAGAAATCTGGTTGATACCACTTGAATCATATTATAAATTTAACATCCCCAATAATGGGACAAAGGGACATACACCCCCCACCATGGTCACATTCTTGCCTGAAGTGTTCAATCTGAATCTAGTTCTTAAAGAAACAGTAGGAGAACTCCCAAATGAGGAACTCTGCATTACAAAAACCAGCCTGAAGTCTTCCCAAAAAGTCACTGTCATGGGAAGAAAAAAGCAGAAAGACTATTTTAAGAAAATGTAAGAAATGGGGCGCCTGGGTGGCTCAGTTGGTTAAGCGACTGCCTTCGGCTCAGGTCATGATCCTGGAGTCCCGGGATCGAGTCCCACATCAGGCTCCCTGCTCGGCAGGGAGTCTGCTTCTCCCTCTGACCCTCTTCCCTCTCGTGCTGTCTCTCGTTCTCTCTCAAATAAATAAATAAAGTCTTTAAGAAAAAAAAAATGTAGAGAAATGGCAATTTAGACAAGTAATCCTTGATTAAACTGTGCATCAAAAAAGAAAAAAAGACTTGTAAAAAGAACATTCTTAGGGCAGCCAGGAGGCCTGAACATGGACAGCTGATTAGCCAGGAGCACTGTTCTGTCAGGATGACATTTCTGGAGCACAATGACATAATGGTCGTGTGCGGCATCTAGTGGGGTGGTTGAGGGACGCAGTTACCTGGGTGTTTGTAGTATTAAATAAAGTGCTTAGGCCCGGGCTTCTCTTCCCTTCAGCACATCCAGCCATCTCTGAACCACCTCTTCTTGGACCCCCCAGGACTCCCCCCAGGACCCCTGCCTCTAATCTTCATGGTCTGGCTCCCCTCCCCTTGCCCCCTGGGGCTGAGCATCTCCCTCTAACTTCTGATTCTGCAGGTGGTATGTTCAGAATCTGTTTCTTGAGCTGGGACAAGGGTTACTTTTGATCCGAACTACGGATGCCACCAGTTGAGATGTTCATGGGTTCCTTTTAGTCCTACATACACATCAACAGCCACAAAACTGGGATCACTCCATCATTAAATATCCTGCTTTTATTTATCTCTACAACTTTCCCACGTCACCAGTCTTCAAAAACAACCTATAATAACTCTATTCCTTGTGACATAAGTTTGCTATTCCTCTACTGCTGGACATCTGTATCACTCCTAACCTCGCAGTCACATGTGTCGGTCACAAAGAGTGTGAGGTACGCAGATGGGCCACAAGACTAGAAGGACACATGCCAGGCTTGCCACGGTGGGGGGACATAGATGGAAGGCAAAAAAAGAGAGAGAGAGAGAGAGAGAGAAAGGCAACTATGCACCTTTATTTTATTGGCTTCTCAACTGTCCAAACACGGTACAGGATGATTCCATATAAAACATAAGTACTTCACAACAAACATTTGCTTTTTTCTAGTTTCAATCTATTTTTTTTCACTTAACATGTTAAGTATTTCCATACACAAATATCAAGGTGGTCCCCTTTATAAAAGTAATAAAGGGCTTTTATTATAAACTGCTCATGTATATTTGCTTGTACACATGCAGAGAAGTCTGAAGGAACGTGCACCCAACCAACAACTACAGAATTAGATGAGCTAATTTTATATATTGTTTTTAATCTTTTTTCTTCCCTCAAAAAACATGTAATTTTTAAAAATCAGCAAATGTGGGGGAAACCCTTAGGCCCAAAGCATACCTTTATACAGTAGTAATCAGCAAATCATCTTGTACTAGCAAATCACCCCCAAAAACTGTATACAGCCTAAAATTAACGCCAGGGACGAGGCCTACACAGACACTGGAATCAGAGGAAAAAAGATTTCACTTTTTTTTTTTCTAAGATCTTTCACTTTTAAAATGAAAATGGTAGAACTTATTAGGTGGATTGAACAAAAACCTCAATTAAGGCCACTCCCTAGGAACACCATCAAGTCAACATTCCAATGACATCAGAGAAAGTATAAAGGAACCCCTTCTTCATAAGCACCAGAACCAAACTTTGGCTTCAGTGTCAGCTCCTCAAGGGGCAGACGCCGTCAGCAACTAACCCGACACCCATGGTGAGAGACGGAACCAAGAAAAGGCACTTACGAAGTTATCCTGAGAGCTTGTCTGGGACTCGGAGCTGCTTTCTGCAGACTCAGTCTCCATCTCCCCGAGGTCCACAGGATGTCTGCCAGGTGAAAGCAAACACGTGCATCAGCCACCACTTAAAGCAGGGAGGTGCTCCGAGCCTGTTCACTAAATACGAGCACGCTGTAGCACGCTGCCCCATGCAGTAGACACTGACTGACAAGTGTCTCCCCTGCTCCTGAAGCAATCGGGACAGTTTCCAGTGAACCCCCCAGCCCAGCTCCCCGCCCCACACAGGTAACTGGCCACAGTGATGGCAAGGAGAAACGTCCACCTAGCTCAGAGCACACCACCACCTGCCCATTCTCAACTGTGGTGCGACTGTTTACACACCCACAAGCACCCTTCTAAGTAGAAGCGTCAATATAGGCCCAATTAGGGGGGCTGGTGAACACTGCAATCACTAATTTTCCAATTTTCTACTCCTAAAGAAGGGACAATAGTGTCACAGTGGGAAAAAAATCAGTATGACATTATGACATCTGTGAGGCCAAATCTATAAAGCCATGTTAGAAATCATTTCAAACATGACAGTTTCTAATAAATTTCCCCAGCACAAAGCAGAAACTCAAGTATTTGCTGAGTGAATAATCTGTGTCTGAGGAAGGCAGAGACCCAGGTCAAGAAGGAGCTGAGAAGAGGTGCCCAAAGAGGGGGTGAGTGCAAGACAGTCCTTTCCACCTCCCTGTTCAACGGGCGTCCTAACCCTAGGGCAAAAGTTCAGGCCTGAGGCCTTTCCAACTAGGCTTGAGTTTAAAAACCAACAGGGAGGGGTGCTTGGGTGGCTCAGTCCGTGGAGGGGCTGCCTTCGGCTCAGGTCCTGATGCTCAGCAGGGAGTCTGTTTCTCCCTCTGCCCCTCCTCCCTGCTCATGCTCTCTCTCTCTCTCCCTTTCTCAAATAAATCTTAAAAAAAAAAAATTAAAAAACAGGGAAAAGATAAAAGGCTTCCTTAATGAAAACAGGCCTTTTATTTTCATAGTCCAACATGTTACTCAAATACCTTTCAGAATGTTTATTTTAAAATTTAAGAACAAATAAACAACAGCCCGCATATTACTAGATTTACTGAGCTCCATTTTCTCTAGCTACAAAGTGAATTAAATTCAGGAAGCAGATTCCTCCCTCCACCAGCCTCCCAGAGTCCACCTGTCCGACTTTATGCACTTGTGCAAAGGGAAAACGGACATGAAGCCGTGGCCGCAGGCTACTCCACTCTCTCAGAACTTCCAGGGGGACTTAATACCATGATAACCTGCACATAAGGGGATCAAGTGATTTCAGTCACTGCACAAATTGCAGAAACAGGACAAGAATGCAATGAAGACATACATTTCTTGCAAATCACATCCTTCTTCAGCTGGAGGATCCCAAAAATGCAGAGCCACCTTCCAGAGCTTGATCTGCTGGTCCCACGATCGTCGACTATACTTCTTGAATTTGTTGGGGGTCTTGGGATGGATGCCGGGTTGTCGAAGGTGTCTACAGGAAAGAGGGAGGTTGTCCTAGTACATACCATCCGTATCTATACATCAGCTTGAAGATTAACCAAACTCTGAGATTAGTTATCAAAAAATCATAGGTCAACTGAGACACTACAAAATGAGCAAAAGTAATATATGAAAAAGCACTACCCCTTTAACTACTACCCCTCTACTATCTTGCTCCAGAAACACACATCTGAACCCCAGTCCTACCGAGAAATGCATGCCCTCTCTAAGCTTTCTGTACAACCCTGTGAGGAGCAGGCTAGGAAGAGCATGCTGCTGGGACAAGAGGGGGCAAGGTTCATGTTTTTCTCCAAAACCATCTTTACAACCTGTCGCCTGAACTTTACTCTTCCCCCATCACGCACGTTAATAGCTTTATACTTCTGGGACCGCAAGAGTCCTGGGACCTGAAGTGTTAACTAACACCCTGGACTATTAACATGTTAAGTTTCCTATTGTCGTGTCCCTGGGTTTTCAGTCACCCATCCCTTCCTCGTCATTCACATAAGTGCCTCAAAGTGGTTCAATGGTCCTCAGAGAGCGTGAAGTACGCCGAGAGTCAGATGCACCATGAAAGCAGACTACAGGCTAGACTGCAGTGCCCCACAGCTCCATGAGGACGCGCCAGTGAGAAGACTACCTAGGCACTTCTTTAATATAGCGGTCGTAGGCGATGGTGTTCTTCCCGTAGTTGATCTGCTTCTGCCTTCTCATTAGGACGCTCTCATCTGTCTCTAAGTCAGCTGGCACCGTGGACCCCGCCTCCTTGGAGTCAGAACTGAAGATGAGATGGACAGAATGAGCCTCAAGGTTAAGACCGCTATGTAAGAAAATGGTGAAACACAATGATGAAAGAACATTTGTCCTCTGGATTCCAAACCATGTTAATCCCAGAACAGTCCAGAACTGTCTCCATGGGAATGTAGTACATAAAAGGGAGGAAAGGACTAAGCAGCGCAGCAGCTGAGAAACCAGCATCCCATGCACAATTCTTCCCACTAGCAGGTGACAGGCCTATCAAATTAGAGAAGAAACATTTACATGTCACTTACCTTCCTGATGAGGATTTTCTCTCTCTCCCAAAGTCATTTATGAGGAGTTTTCTTTTATATCTGAGAGCAAAATAAACATTGCTGTTTTAGAAAGGTATACGAATTAACTGAACACAATGCTTTTAAGACAGCCCCCAGAGGTCAGGCCTTCTCCCTGAGCAGTGTGGTCTGGTGAGTGAAACAGGGTAACAGCACAGTGGTTCTGTTTATTTTCAATCTCCCTCGGTCACCTTCTCTCATAAGGAGGTGTTATAGGCCAAGCTCGTACAAAGTGCTTACAGCAGCCAGGCCCTGTGAGCAAACCACCACATCAATGACCCTGGGTACCACCATATGTAATGGAGATTCTCTAAGCCAAAAAAAAAAAAGCCCCTAACAGCTTCAGGTTAGTAGTGAGATCCACTTTCGGGGAAGAAAAAAAAAATGTGAAGTTGAGATAAAACAGTTTTTATTTCTAATACCACAATTACTTACATGTGTGCCTACTGGGTTGTGCTCGCTTTCTCCAATCTTAGAAAGAGACTGAACACCACCCCCCAGTCTTGTTCCTCATTGATTTCTATCACAGCAACTACCAAACCCCCGCTTTGCCAAGGTACGTCAGCCAAAAGAGTGTAGCTCGATGTAACACTGAAACCATGAACCATCTCAAGCTAGAAGTTCATGGGTCTAAAACATGTAGTATATTACCGTGTCTCCTTCCAAAAGTGCCAGGCCCCAAGTCTGCTGAGGCACCGAGGAGTTTGGACACCAGGAAGTAATGAATGAGTTTGTTTCCTGTGTATTCAGAAAAGCACCGATTCTATACCAGCCTGTGCAAACTGAGAAAGCAGGCCCTGAATATCCCTTTCTGTAGGGCTTCATTCTCTCGGGGACTCCAGCTGAAGAAGACTGGCTTCTAGTATGACTAAAACCCATTTTCCAATTTTCAGACAGCTGGTGTGTAGTGTGTATTATCCTCCTTGAAGTACAGTGAACTAAATTCTGGTAAAAAGGCAGACTACCATCAGCAGCAGGTCAAACCACCTGGGTCTTACTAAAGCAGCAGCTTTCCATCAGGAAGGGTGTGATCGGCAGAATGGCCCAAAATAGAGCAGGCCTGTTTTGCAAAGAACACTTTTCGGAGACAGGCCTGTGAGACAACGGAGGAATAAAGCAGGGTCCATCAAAGGAGGATCAAGACAGAGAGACAGAGGGGGGCCCCATACAGAAGATCTGCAGATAGTCCCTGGCAAGGGTCAGGACACACAGGTGTGTGCCAAGAGCTGTTGTAAGCCTTGGGAGCGGAACACAGAAACTACACAGACCAAACCAAACATCCTAGCTCTACAGTTGGGAAAACTGACATCTATATGAACAAAACAACGAATTCAAAACACTGGAGGAGCCCACGTCTATGAACTTCCAGTTCACTTTTCTAACCAGGCACACGGCCCACCCACACACATTTTGATGCCTAAAAGAAATTAAAGCAGCCCTTTGAGTGGTCCTAACCCCCATGTGTGCCTGTGCCTTTCCTAAGGAGGCAGCTGTACATACCATCAACCACTGCAGAGGTGAAACAGGCAATCTGGCCCTGCCTCCCTGCTGAGAGGACACATTTTCTCATAAGAACTAAGAACCAATGGACTCAGTTCAACATACTCCAACTGATTATGAGCCACGGCATTTTAACTCAAAGCTCAATCAGCTGGGTTGGATGGAATATTTCAAAGGGAAGGAAAAACCCAAAAATACCAGAAAGAATGTAATCAAGAGAGAGAAGCAGTGCTTAAGGATGCATCACCTGAACCGTAATGAGTGGAGGCAGTGGCTTAGAGTTTGGGAGAACTTGTATATACACAACAATTTTGGGTACAGCTGCAAGGGGTTAACAGGCCCCACGTTGGGGACCCCTCCCTGTGCTCTCCCACTCCCGAGCTGTTACCTGAACCAGGTGTCAGACAAGAGTGCGCTCCCTATCTAAAGAGAGAGCCACACAGTTTGCTGGGGTGGCAGAACCCAATGTGGTAGGTTAGAGCACATCATGGTAGTACCATCTTCCCACCTACTGCCATGGTGGACGGATGGCCACTAAGACAGTAGTCCTGAACCTTCAGTGAGCAGGCTCATATGGCTGGCTTCTTTAAGACATGGCTGGACCCCACCCCGAGTTTCCCACTCAGGAGGCCTGGGGTGGGGCCTGAGAATGGGCATTTCTAACAAGTGCTCAGACCCTGCTAATGCTGCTGGGATGGGGACCAGACTCTGAAGAGTCATCCTTCTAACACATACCTCAAAGCTAACATATGGTAAGAAACACCAAGGATAACGCTTCACAACGGTCTGGGTTGTATACCTTGCAATTTCTTTGTTAACTCTGGTCCTCATTTCATCCTCTTCAACTGCACTTGCCCAGTCTGAACATCTAGAATGGGGCTTCGGGCCTTCAGGAGTGGTAAAACTGCAATACAACAAAAACGTGCATTTGAACCATGGCACCTACATTCACTGTCCTTCCAAGCAGCACACCAGGCTATGCTCAGATGTTGCTTGCAGAGTGCCAAGGGAATGGGCTCCAGGATACTCTACGCTCCATCGCTTACTAGCTCACTGAGTTTGGGCAATTCACTTCAAGCCTCTCTGGGCTTCATCTGTTGAGCCTGTAAGCACCCACCATGTGCCAGTGTTGGCTGAGTCATGAGAACAGTCCACTGGGGGGAAGGCCAAGTCAACAAGCCATTTTCAGCACAGACAATGGTGCCTAATACAACTTGGTCTTTTATTTACAAAACGAGAGGCTATTTTTCAGTATTTTGAAAAAGAATTAAATAGCACTTCATACTAAGCAAAGTGACCAGCACATAAAAGGTACTTAATAAATGGTAGCTACTGTTCACCTTTAAATGCCCCAATTAACTATTCAGAATATATCGGCTAATTAAAATAGGGAGATAGGAATATACATGGGAGTCCCTGCTACATTAGGACTTAGTGTACTGGTAACAGCACCCCTTAGAGTTGAGCTTAAGTGTAAACTAGGAGCTCAGTTCAATCCAGAGATCAAGGAAACCTTTCGTCAAGGGACACCTGGGTGGCTCAGTCGGTTAAGCGTCTGCCTTCGGCTCAGGTCATGATCCCAGGGTCCTAGGATCAAGTCCTACACTGGGCTCCTTGCTCCTCGGGGAGCTTGCTTCTCCCTCTGCCTCTGCATCTCCCCTCTGCTCATGTTCTCGCTCTCTCTCTCTCAAATAAATAAATAAAATCTTAAAAAAAAAAAAAAAAAAAAGAGCAGGCAATTTGAAAAAAGCTTAATGCCAAGAGTTCTCGCAGTCAGAATTGTTGGTATGTCTATTATTTGTAGATTAGATATAAATGGACACTTTCATTTTTCCTCCTCAACTTTCTACTGGTCACCGCTGATGCATCAAAGCTAGACACAACTTCAGTTGCCACTCTAGCTGACCGGATGCACCCTAGCTGCAAACCACATGGCACGCTTTGAAAATGCAACTGCAATAACAAATGAATGATCCTTGTGTGCAATTACCATTTCTTCTCTTATAGCTACCTCACCCAAAAAAACTAAAATTAGATTTCTAAAACTAAATTTCCAGATTCTAAAAATGATTGGCAGGGTCTGAAGTCAACTTAATGAACCAAAAGTTAGTATGACTCAGTAACTGTATTCCAGATACAGAGAGGAACCAAATGGAAGGTTATCCAGAGCTGGACCTCAATGTCCTCACTCGTGGACCAAAAGGCTAAGGTCTGGGCCATGAGACTGCTGAACTCTTAAAAGGAGCTTACAAACGACCTTCCACTACATCACACATATTTTGGTAGAATAATAGAAAATACCTTTTGTACAACTAAAGCCAACTTTTTAGATTAAGCAAGTCGTATTCACCAACCTATCCTATCTTAGGACAAGAGTACATTTAGGGAAAGTGCTCGAATGGAAAACAAAGCCTACTTTGTACAATGAGCTAACTGCCTGCACAGGAACCACCTCCCACATCCCGTGATGGAAATGCACCTGGCTCTACTGCAGGCACCTATACGCATCCCCCACGCATCACCACAGCAGACTGGGGAGACAAGCAGCAACCACAGAGCCAAGAGCAGGGGCCAAGGGCTTTCTGCCACGTTAGATGAGTAAGGAGACCCAAGTGGCTAACTACTGAGCTAGAGGGGTACCCATGGGGATACAAAGGACTTTTAAGGCAATATAAGGATTTAACATTTTCTCCTCAGCTAAACAGGAGACCACCGGGGGACTCAGATCTTGATCTCCATGGTGTTTCATCACTTCTCTTCACATCCAGCTCGAGCACTGCACAGGCGCTCTCCCACACTCAGCGTCTCTTCCCAAGTATCTCTTCTAGCCCCAGGTCTTTTAAATTATACGCAGAGAGGTCACATCGTGCAGAATGTGGGCAGCATCCGCACCCACACTCAGGTCTCATTAATTACTGCCTCCTTCCCCATGCCAGGTCTGCTCTACCCCCACCCTCTCCATCTCGGCAAATGGTTCCCCAAGGAACAAAGGTGTTCGGAGTGAAACACTTGAGTCATCCTAGACTCCTCTCTGAATCCCCCTCAACCCGTCAACAAGCACAAGAACTGCCTTAAAAAGTCTAATGTGCACCACACATTCCTCCCCACCTCCCCTTCCACCTGAACGCCCCCCCTTGTCCTCCGCTAGTCAGGCTTCAGACGGGCCAAACACATCCCCAGCTGAGGGCACGTAGACCGTTAGAGCGACCACATCCCAGTCACCCACTGTCTGCACAAAGGTCGCTGACAGAGGTCTTCCCTGACTGTGGCCTCTGAAGAACACACTGGCCTTCACCACTGCCCCCTGGTTTTCTTCAGCCTCTCCTTGTCCCTCTGAAATACCGACTAGCTGAGCACCCCCGTCAGAGCACAAGCACAGGTGCACACGACCCCACCTAGAAGCTGCTGGCGTCAATACCACAGGAAAGGCTCCTCACCAAGTACCCGGAGAACCATGACGAAAAGAGGAATCTGGAACTTAAACCCTGATTTGCATTCTGGCGCTGACACCTTTTTTGACTGTGGTAGGACACTTCTCTAAACGGATTCCTCTGAGGCACAACCTAACTAGCTGTGCTGAAACCTCCTAAAAAGTTCAAGGTAGCCTCCCACACCGTCCCTAAAACATAGTAAGACTCACTCACAGAGACTGACGCCAGTTTCTGCGGACACCTGTCACCAGAGACTCTCGTGGGATCTTCAGCTACCTTAGTCACGTTGGGACACACTGGTGCCTTAATAGCCAAGCGTTCAAAGATACAAGCACCGTTCATTAGTCAAGCGTTTGAGGCACAAGTGCCTTAACGAGTCAGACACAGGGACCTTCAGGCGCCATGACTAGCCAAGTGTCGTGAGACGGCAACCCCTCAATTAATCAACTGATGCGGAGCACAGACACCCCAAACGGTCAGGGGGCAACCCACAGGTACCATAAACAGTAGGGCGGGGACCCAGAGGCACCTTAACTAGTCACGTAGGGCTCCCAAGGTGCCTCAACCAGCTGGGTGGTAACCCACAGGTGCCTTAACAGACGGGCGGGGGACCCCTCCCTGGCACCTTTACCAGCCAGGTGGGGACCCCTGGGCGCCTTAACCTGTCGGGTAGAGACCGCCGAAGCACCTTAACCAACCAGAATGAAGACCCCTCCCCAGAACACTCAACAGCTCGGGTGGTAACCCCTGGGTGCCATAACAAGCAGGTGGGGAACCCACAGGCACCTTAACCAGTCCGGCGGGGCGCCCAGGCTCCTTAATTGGTCGGACAGGGGATCCCCAGGCGCCTCAGCCAGCCCCGAGGTAACCCACAGCCTCCTTCCTCAACCAGCCAGGCGGGGACCCCCGGGCGCCTTCACCCGTCGGGGAGGGAACCCCCAGGCGCCCCAACCAGCCCAGAATAAAGACCCCCCCCCGGCGCCATAACTAGCTGAACGTGGGGCCCCAAGCCCGCGGTGCCCCCGCAGGCCGCGGAGGCCGGACGGCGCCCTGCAGACCCCAAGCTCGCGCCGCGCCCCGGGCCCACCTGTCCGGTCGGCCGTCGCCCGCCGGCTTCGCGGGGCCCTCGGCGTCCTCGGGCTTCCTGCGCCTCCCGTCGGCTCTGCGCTTCCGTCCGAGGCTCCATCTCGTCGGGGGCGGCGGGCTGCCGACGACAGGCGGCGTCAGAGGTGAGACGAGCCGCGCGGCCCCCGGAGCGCCCGCCCGCGGACCCCCACCCCGGCCTGCCCGGAACGTCCCGGGGCGCGCGGCCCGCCTCACCTGGCGTCGCCGTCGCGGCGGCTCCCGTAGCCAGAGGGGCTTCGCGGCCGGCAGGCCATGGCGAGCGCGGCGGCGGCGGGCGGGGGTCCTCGGGCGGGGGTCCTCGGGCGGGGGTCCTCGGGCGGGGGTCCGGGACCGGCGGCGGCTGCGGCTGCTGCGTGCTCCCCCGCGCCGGCGCTGACAGACTCTGCGCGCGCGCCCCGCCCCCAACCGCCTTTATGCGCGTCCGGCCCCACCTCCCCCCCGAGCTCCCGCGCGCGCCGCGGCGGGCGAGACCATCGGGCCCACGCCGGCGGGGGGGGCCCAGGCGGCAGCGCGCGCTTCGCCGGCGGCCCGGGCCTGGGCGGGGAGACGCGAGGCCGCAGCCCCGACACTGCCTTCTGGGAGGCGGCGGATCGACGCCGTGTGGCCGAAGGCCGAGAGGCCCGAGGAAAGGCTGCCCCCCGCTCCTAGCATGGGGACGACCGGGGCTGCCGCGCCTCGGCGGGCAGGGCGGGGGGGCGGGGCGGGGGCTTTGGCGGGAGATTCGGACGCGCGCGCGACGCAGGCGCTCGGAGGGGCCAAGGCCCGGGAGAGGACGCGCCTCTGGTTGGTCGGCCGGCGAGACGGTCTCTGATTGGCCGACCCCGCGGGGGCGGCCTCTGCGCAGGCGGGAAACTGGAACCCGGAAGGGGAGGTGGCCGCGGAGCGTCGGGCGGGGCCTCAGTCTCAGCCGCCGGCGGAGGCACCTGCCCGGCGCCGCCAGCCCTGTGGGTTCTCCCCGCCGCGCAGAGCTCACTTCCGCCGCCTCCGGCTCCTGGCCCCGGCCAGCCCTCCGCGGGCTCTCCACGCCCCTCCGACCCGCCACCCCTTCTGCAGAACCCCAGGCCCACTCCCGCTGGAGCCCCGAGAACGGGCTTGGTGAGACCTCTGTCGTGCGGCGACGGCTCCCACAGCGCCCGCCGCCCTCCTCAGTGTAGACAGAACGGGCACAGTGCTGTTACTTCCCCGTCGGCTTCTCCCCGTTACCAGTTCCAGTATCAGGGAAAACAGAACATTCCAGTATGTGCTTCAGACTTTTATTAAATACCGTATCGCTCAGATACAATAAATTTGTCTTTATAAAACTAAGTAACTTTCTTTTGTAGTAAAAATAACCCAACTCAGTCCCTCAGTCCCTCTCCACCCAGGGCGGAGGCTGTGCTTGCCGTCCCCTCTGACGGCCTTCATTTGCGGGTACCCTGGCGGCCCACGACACTGAGCCACCTCCACTCCCAAATCCCTGGGCTTCAGTGTGGCCTCGGGCAAGTCAAGCCGGCTGGGTCCCTCACCCTTGCTTCAAACAGCCAGGTTAAGGGGGCTTAGAGCTACAAATACGAGGGCCCCCTCCAGCAACCACATCGGTCAGAGCTGGGCCCGATGGCCTGGCTGCTACCGCCCTCCTAGTTGTGCCACCAGGAACTGGGAAGAGGCACATCCCTTTCTGACGCAGGTGGACCCTAGAGAGCTGTGGCCAGCCCTGTGCCGTGTCCCAACGAGTTTGTCTGCATGTAGTCTGTTGCAGTGTCTTCTGCGCAGTATCCCCTCTGGTGGGGAGTCAGGCTTGGCCTTTCTCTGGACTCACCGAGCAGCAGTAGGCACGGAGGTGCATGCCCTCCAGGAGACAGGCAACCCCCACAAGCATGCAGCTAAAGAATAGGAGTTGAGAGAAGCCAGCCCCTAAGAGGAAGTCCAGGATCTCCCGGGGCCAGATAGCAGGTAGGGGCCACCCCACCCAGGAAGCCCCAGGCAGTGCTCTCAGCCTGGAGTGGCACCCCAGTCTCTGCACCACCAGACTCTCCCCCAGACCCTCAGAGGCGCCTGGTGGGATGCAAAGGGGACACAAAAGCACAGAGCCAGCAGCCAGCTTGGAGACAGGAGCCTGGAGGGCAGACTGCAACCAGTTTGGATGAACCTGGCTCTGGCGTGTAACTGAAAGGCAGGTGTGTTACATAAAATTAAGGCAAGTGGTTCAGGGTAGGGCCATGGGGGCAGATCCCTGGTCTCCAGAAGACAGCTCAGGTAGCCTCACAATGCTCTGGGAAATGGGCCCCACAGCATACTGTGTTCCAAGTCCAGCAGCTAACCCCACCTGGAGAAACAAGAAGCAAAGGAAGCGGAGGCACTGAAGTCCCAACCCAGTGACACTGCTAAAGAAAACTTCCTTTTTAAACAAAAACCCTCGTCCTTCATCATGCTGGGGAAAGAACCCCTGGCTGACAACACAAACGAGGGCCTGGAGCCCTGGCTGCTCCTCATGGTGGCTGTGGGGTCCCTAGCAGGGCTTGCTGGGACCCCCAAGGCCACTCCCTTGCTCCAGCCAGCAGGCTCAGCGCACAGCACACACATCCAGGATGCAGAAGCGTGCACGGCAGGTGGGGCAGGGCACGCGGCTGGCGAGCCAGGTGTCAGGGCGCTGTGGGTCCTGGCGGCTGGCAAACCACTTGCCCATGCAGGTGAGACACCACATGGGGCGACAGTAGCACTGCTGGCACTCGCCCTCAGCTGCCTCTTGGCAGGTCTTCACCAGCTTCACACTGGCACGTGTCTGCATGCAACCAATGCATGCCTCCAGCTCCTGTGGGCGGGCGTAGAGGGTCACAGGGAGCCTGGCCCAACGGCCCTGTGTCCCCCACCCAGGGGGCCTGGCCTGTGGGAACCCACCTGCCCTCACCCAGCCCTCACCTGGCTGCTAGGGACCGAGTAGGTTGGGTTGACCTCCACCAGGGAAGCAAACGTCTCCAAGAACAGGTCGCCCAGGCTCTGATGGATGACCACGTTGGCCGCACTGCGGATGGGTGCGCGGAGTTTCTCACACAACTCACCATACTCCGTGGAGTTCAGCCTGCACAAGGTGGGGGCTGCTGGGCTGGGGCCACTAAACCAAGGCCCCTCTGCAGGACAGGGCCATCATTCCTGGTGGGGATGCCAAGGTGCCTCTAGGGTGACAGGGCACCCACAACCACACAGAATATGGGAGCCCAGGCACAGCCCAGTCACCTGATAAAGACCAGCCTGCAAAGACAGCCCTGAGGCCAGAGCCCACAGAAGGAGAGCACCAACCACCTGCCCTCAAGGGATGCAGGGAGGGGCAAAGAGAGTGGGGAGATTGCAGCTGAGACACAGAATGCCTGGCTTTCACCAAGTTCAGGCACAAAAGGGATCACAGAAGAGGGACAACGGACTGTCCGAAGCCTGAATGGGACAGGAAGACCTCGGCTTGGGCCCCAGAGCCAAGACAGCCACCAAGCCTCGGTCCTGTACCACCCCCCCAAACATCCCGAACACGCTCCCCCGAAAAGAGCTGCAAAAGGCAGCTCAGAGAAGAACACAGAGAAAGCAGAAGCAAAGAGTACCTATGGGGGTGTGAGGGGACAAGGGGCCTTGAGGGAGGGTTCCGCTGGAAGGGTGGCTAGAAAAATGTGCTCCACCCATCATCACCTCCCAGAGAGCCCAAGACTAGAACCTGACTGCTGGCTGCCTCTGGCGCGCCCCAGCCTCACTGTGACCCTGGCCACAAGCGTACCTACCGGATGTCGAAGGCCCGCACGCCAGGGCTGGCACTGGCCACGTGGATGGTGAGGAGCTGCACAGGTAGGCTGGAGTCCGCCGAGAGCGCATGCTGCTGTGACCCTGTCACAGTCAGGTGCACGTCCTGCTGCCGAGCCGCGTGCACACGGTACGTGGTCACCTTCATCACCCACGTGTCCGTCACGATCACACGAGCCCCTGGTGCCCCCGTGGCAAACTTATCGATCCGCCGGAACTCGGTGTTGACTGAGGAGGCCACAGCCCACCAGCCTGACTGCGGGAGGGCGTAGAGGGCCAGGGTGCGGGCCAGCGGGTGGCGGGCCCACTGATCACAGGACCAGTAGTAGATCAGTGTGCTGGCGATGGTGGGCAGAGTCACTGCCAGCAGGAGGAAGAGCCGCCAGGCCTCCGGGGCCTGGCTGAGGGAGTAGAGCTGCTTTTCTGAAGCTGCAAAGCACATGCCCACGTAGTAGCCTACAAAGGATGGGGAGGGCCTCAGCAGAAATCAAGACTGCCAGGCCATTGTTCTCCCCCCATAGTGCCCACCAAGGGCCACCCTGGTCAGCTCTCAGGGCCAGGCAACGGTACCCCAGGGCAGGTGCACTTTATCTGCCTCCACAATGACCCAGCTCAACCCTTGCCCAGAACAGTAATACAATAAATTAGGAAAAGAAATTTTTAATTCACTACTTCAGTTTTATATGAGTAATACATGATTACGGAAATAGGAAAACCCCCCCAAAAACCCGCAAAAACAAAAACAAGGATCTGGTGTCACCCAAAGCAGAGCTACACACTGGCCCTCCCAGGAGCGGGATCTTGGCCTCTCAACCCTAGCCCCTCTGAGGAGGCAAATCAGAGTGTGACCCATGCCAGAGCTCAGATTTGTGTGCCAAACACTACGCAGAGAACAATGGGGAACACCATAGCTCCAGGGCCCCTGCTGGCCAGATCAGGGCCAGTCTGCATATCCGAACAATTGACGTAGATAGATCATGGACACCTGCGTGAACACGTTTACGGCTGCAAAGTAATAGTAAACATTTACTGTTGATCAGGTTACCACACTTAAGGTAATTTATCGTGCAGCAGTAGATAATATGCATACAAGAGTTTCAAAGCTTTTTAAAACAGGTTGAAAAGGAAGAGAAAGACCCCGGGACTGGCCACAAGGCCAGGCTCCTCCACCTCCATGAGTCACTGAGCTCCCTAAGTTCTGGTTTCTCTGTCCATGTGTAGCACGGTGATGGCCCAGCCACCCCCAGGCTTATAGAAAGGATGTGGCTAAAAGGACTCCAGAAAGCTGTGGGGACCCTCAGTTCCCAGGGCAGAAACCCAACCCACAACCGTCTCAGGAGCCCAAGTTCCAAACTGCACTTTCCTCATCTGAGAAATAAGCTAATTGGTAACCCTGCCTTACCGGGGTGCTGGGGCCTCAGGCTGAGAAAGCAACATAGTTACCCCAACAGCAGGCAGAAACCACTTGGCCAAGGGTACCACCAGACTGCCACCAAGAAGGCGGTGTCCTTCTTGGCATGAGGAGGCAGCCCTCCTGCACAGACCTGGCCTCAGCCCAGCCCCCTCCAGGAGGCTCTCCACACCTGGCCCAGGCTGCTGAGCCCTGCTGACAGGTGGAAACTCCTGAGTCCACGGAGCCAGCGACCGGGGCCCAGCAGCCACCCGCCCTTCTAAACCTGCTTCTGTTCTGTATCCTCCAGGGAAAACACACACACACACACACACACACACACACACACACACACACACAGCCAGGGAAAACACACACACACACACACACAACCCGTACCCCTTTTTCCAGTCAGTCCCCTGTCCAACCAGCTGACAAACCAGCCTCTCAGAGGCCAGAGAGCACCTGGTCTCCGCCCAGGCCAACCCTTGGGCCACGTGTGAGCATTTTGCCCCCGCCACACACACAAACACGCCCCCCCAACCTCTGCACCTGTGACACCCCCATGGGGTTACCCATCTCCGCCTTTCTCACACCCACCTTCCAAAGCCTGGGACAAGGCCACCTGCTCTCCCAGGTCCCTCCACCTTCGTTAGAATCAGTTAACTCATGTCGCTCTCCTGCGAACTGCCCCCACAAAATGACCTGCCACAGCTAGGCGAAGCATCATCACCTTTGCCCGCCCCCCAATATTCTAAGCCTTCATTTCTGCCACCTGCAAGCAGCCACTTGCCGCCAGCACCTCCCTCTCCGCCGCGGACGCGAGAGGCCCGTCTCAGAGCGCACGGGCTGTTAGTCTAAAGCCGCGCTCTCGGGGTCAGCGTCTCTCCTCAACTCGGAACGACCGGGGGTCCGCGCGCCCTCCCCCCGACTCTTCACTTCCGGGGTCCCGGAACTCGGCCGCGAGCCCGAGGGGCCACTTAACGCCCACCAAGGTGGACACAGGCCGGTGCCGCCGCGCCCCGAGGACCCTCTGGGGGAGGGTCCGGCCTGCTCACCGAGCGGCAGCAGCGAGTGGCACAGCAGCGTGGCGGACGTGCGGCGCAGGTGGTAGGGCACAAAGGCGGCGTCCTCGCTGCCCAGCCAGCCCGACAGCAGGTTCTGCACGGTGAGCCCGGCCGAGTGGAACTCGGTGGGCGTGAACACGAAGCACACGGCGAACACCAGGTAGGCCAGCGTGAAGGTGACCTCCGGGCTGTCCATCGCGCTGCCGCGGCCGCCAGGAAGCCGTCGGAGAGAGTCCCGCAGCCCCCGACGGGAAACGGACCCGAGAATTCCGAGCCGGTGGGCGGAGGCGGGTGGGCGCCAGGTCGGCGCGGGGCGCTCTGGGAGATGGTGTCCCCGCCTGCGGGGCATTCTGGGAGATGGCGTCCCGTCCGCAGGCCGGCGTGGGGCGCGCTGGGAGACGTCACATCGACGCGGGGCACCCTGGGAAACGGAGTTCCGCGCCCCGTACACAGCCAGAAGTGCTGAGACCTCGCCAGTCCTCGTGAGGGTCCGGCTCCATCCCGCGATCCGCCTTGGGGGCGGCTGCAGCTGGTCCCATTTCACAAATGGGGAAACAGGCCTGAGCCAGTGGTTCTCAGGCCCTGACCTTTCCACGCAGCCCAGTCCCGTCCGCGGTAGGCCCCGCCCCTGCCCCCCGCAGCCGCCGCCCGCCAGCGGCCCCGCCCCTCCGCAGGCTCGGCGAGCCGGGATTCCGATGGCTTCCGGCGCCCGCCGCGCCCAGCGTGCCCCCCTCCCCGGAAGCGGAGCCGCCGGCGCCCTGGAGGCGTGGCCGCGGCGCCCTGTGCGTCCCGCCCCCGGCCGCGCGCTGATTGGCCGCGCGCTCCAACCGTCGGTATTTGAATCGGCGGCGGGCGGACGGTCTCCCGGACTCGGCGCCTCCCGCTCCCTCGGCTTCGTGTGGCCGCCGGCAGGTAGGCGGCGGCGGCGGCGGCGTCGTCCCGGGCTCGGGCATCCATCCCCACCTCCTCCCCCAACCTCCGGGCCTCGGGCTCCGCGCCCCGGCTCCAGACCCCCGCAGCAGCTGGGCGGCGCCCGCCCTTGACGGGGCCCTCCTCCCTCTGCGGCTCCTCCCGCGGCTCCGGGGTGCGCCGTCCGCACAGCACCCCCTGCTCTCTTGGGCCCACCCTGCCGGCTTTTGCTGCCGCCCTACCAGGGGCACCTTCCTAGCGGGGTCACCGGCAGCCCGTGTGCCCTGCTGGTTTCCGGCCGCAGCCCGTGGGCGGAGACGCCTGCGGGGGGCTCCTTTGTCGGTCCCCGGGAGGTCGGTGTGTCAGGGTCCCTCGCGGCCCGGTTCGTTGGCCTCCCTCGCCGTCACCTTGTGACCTCGTCCAGCCTCAAACACCACCTGCACGCGCGCCGTGCCAGTGGACACCTCCCACCCTCGACGCCGTCGGCTCGCCGCCCGCTCCGCGTAGGCGCGATTCCCCAGCCCTTCCCGGCTCTGCGGCGCCGCGCCTCCCTCCCCGGGGGCAGCTTCGTGCTGCTTTCTCTACGCCCCACCTGCGAGCCATCGCTGACTCCAGCTGCACCGGCCCTCCCTGTCCTGATTCTCCCCAGCTGCTCGGCGCAGCTCCGCCCTGTTCCCCCCGCAGACCTGGACCTTCGCTCACCGGGCTGTCTGGCCTCGCAGCCTCTGCTCGGGAGCCTTCTCCCCATTGTCCGTGGAAGCCAGACCTGACAGACTGCCACGACTGTTCTCCCACCTTCCTCAGGAGAGGGCCTGCGGAACGGCGTCTAGGTCCCCTCCCTCGTGCGTCCCACAGCCATCCAGCTATCCTTCCCCTTCCCAGTGTTCACGCCAAAAATCTAAAAGTCGCCCTTTTGTTTCTCCCCGCCTTCCAGATGCCTTGTGGGCCCACTGGCCAAGCCAGGGCTGCTCTCTCCACCCCTGGCTGGCTGCAGGATTCTTTGACCCCCACTTCCCTCCTGCCCTTCCCTGGCCTCCACACGCATGGCCCCACCCCCATACCTTCCAGGGCATCTTGTTCTCCTGACTCACCTCTTTCCAGGGCACCCTTGCTCCTTCTGCGCCCGCCACCCGGGCCTTGCTCTTCAAGCTGCAACTTCCAGCACCCCCACCACCAGCAAATACCTGTGATGTTCCCATGGACAGGCCCTCCGGCGACTCCTGGGTTGGGAATGTCATGCTGGCGACCATCTTGAGGACCTTGGGAAGGGGGGTGGGGACTGTTCTAGAACCTTCTGGGTCTCAGTGGAGGTCTCTGGTATATATTTCTAGACTCCAAATCTCAGTGTAGAAGCTTTTCAACTGCCCACCAAGTAATTCTGGATCTGCTGGTTACTGCCTTGTCCCACTCTTCCCCTGGGCCTCGGCCCTCACTATGCCCCAGCCTGTGACGGAAGAGCAAGCCACAGCACCCTTCTGCTTTCTTGCTCTCGGCCAGCTTGGCAACCTGCTCCCTCTGTGCTGTGGCCTCAGTGCCTTCAGCGGAGGCCTGAGGGGAGACCCAGGCTTTCTGACAGGCCAGCACCCCTGTCTCCTGAACTTTACCCACTAAGTTCAATTTTTTTTTTCTAAGATTTTATTTATTTATTTGAGAGAGAGAGAGACAGAGCAGGAATACAAGCAGGGGGAGTGGCAGAGGGAGAAGCAGGCTTCCCGCTGAGCAGGGAGCCCAATGCGGGGCTCGATCCCAGGACCCTGGGATCGTGACCTGAGCTGAAGGCAGACGCTTAACCAACTGAGCCACCCAGGCGCCCCAAGTTCAAATTGTTTTGAGGACCTGATTCTTCTCCCTTGTCCTGTGGGCTGAGGGCCCTTATGGCTCTTTGTCCTGGGAGGTGGCAGCTGCCCTAAAACAGGACAAGGACTGCCTGGCAGAGGTCACGCTGCCTGAGATGTGACCCCCCTGCGCAGGAAGGGGACAGCTGCCTGTGAGGCTAGCTCCTTGTCCTGGCCCCTCATCCGGACTGCACAGCCCTCATACTGACGTAAACTGCCTGCTTTTCCAGAATGAGTCTGCAGATCTACAGTGATGAAAACGTCACTGGTGACAAGAGTGCAGAAAACTGCGAGTTCCTGTTTTCACCCCCGGAACTTACCGGAAGACTATCTGTTCTTCGTCTGTCACAGAAAGAAAATGTGCCACCCAAGAGTGTACTCAAAGCTGTGAAAGTAAGCACACTTTGCCCGTGTAAATCTACTGTGTGTCACCCACTAGGTCACCCTGGGACTTTCTTTCCTGGGGACTTACGGAAGTAGGCAGGGCACTGCCACCATAGTGGTTGAAGACTTGAATTATTGAACAGGTCTCCTCCTCCCCCAACAGGTGACTTTTCAGACTCCTCTGCGGGACCCACAGACGCACCGGATATTAAGTCCTAGCATGAGCAGCAAGCTCGAGGCTCCTTTTACTCTGGAGGATGCTGTTGGGTTAGAAAACTCTCCTCAAAACCGGACCCAGAAAGAGAAGTAAGTGTTCCTGCTTGATGTACTGTAATTTGTCACGTCTCCAGCGGACACAGCAGAAAAATTGTTTTGTCATTAGTCGCATCTGGTCGAGTTCCTCCTGGTTTCTGCTCTGAGTTCATGCGATGTGTTGCCCGGCCTACTCGCATTAGAAGCCACTTGTTAGTAGAAAAGCAATTAAAATGTGTAGAATAAGTTTTTTTGTTTAAGATTTTTTTTACTTGTTGGGGCGCCCGGGTGGCTCAGTCGTTAAGCGTCTGCCTTCGGCTCAGGTCATGATCCCAGGGTCCTGGGATCGAGCCCCGCATCGGGCTCCCTGCTCGGCGGGAAGCCCGCTTCTCCGTCTCCCACTCCCCCTGCTTGTGTTCCCTCTCTCGCTGTGTCTCTCTCTGTCGAACAAATAAATTCTTTACTCTTTTTTTTTTTTAAAAGAATTTATTTATTTGTTTGACAGAGAGACAGCAAAAGAGGGAACACAAGCAGGGGGAGTGGGAGACGGAGAAGCGGGCTTGCCGCCGAGCAGGGAGCCCGATGCGGGGCTCGATCCCAGGACCCTGGGATCATGACCTGAGCCGAAGGCAGACGCTTAACGACTGAGCCACCCGGGCGCCCAAGATTTTTTTACTTGTTTATAAAAAGAGAGCACAAGTGGGGAGGGGCATAGGGAGAAAGAGAATCTCAGTCTCACGATCCTGAGATCATGACCTGAGCCAAAACCAAGAGTCAGATGCCCAACTGACTGAGCACCCAGGCGCCCCCAATAAGTTTAAGTTTTATGCCGCAGTCCTTTACTGTGCTTTTGCCAACACATTGGCCTGGCTTTTGTTTCTCTAATTCCATGAAATGTCTGAGCATGTCTCCGAGGAAGGATGCTTTGGGTTAGGTTTCTTTTTTCATACCCACTGGGGTCTCCTTTCTGTTTGCAAGTCAGCCTTGGGTGTTCTCAAGATCTCTCGGTCTTGTCTTTCTCTTCAGTGAAAACCTTGATCTTCCTGTGCCCCGGATTATGTAGCTGGTGGTCCCCAACTGAAAGGGGGAAATAGGCAAGCAGAAAAAACCTTAACTGTGATTATGTGTCATGTTTCCGCTCTCTCGGAAACCTGTGTGATCTAGTTGGTCTACCAGTTTTGATTTATGTGGATATACTTGTGAAAGTTAATCTTAGGAAGAGAGTTGACTGAGCGTTCTTTCTGTTTTTAGCTAATGTCTTCTCGGGGGTTAAATTCTAATTAAAAATCTAATAGGTTCCTTTGTGTTAACTAAGTTTGTTTCTGAAAAGCCAACAGTTCACCAAGGAAGTTGACACCAAAATGACCAATGGAATTCTCCAGAAACGAATGGTGGCCAATGCCAACCCCCCTCCAGCAGATGTGAGACCAGCCTCTGAAGATAGGCAGTATTCCAGTGGGCCCACCTCAGCTCACCTGGCCAGCCTGGATCCCTCAAGCTCTCCCCAGATGCCAGAAATGCTTGAAGATCAAGTGGCTTCTCTAGGACAAACATCTGTGAGCCTTGAGCAAGCTTTGGAGGAAAGTGTTCATTCTTATTTCTTAGAAAAAAGTGTTACCTCCACCTCGGAAATCCTAGAAGACCCTTCCCAGGTGGCTCCCCAACACCAAACAGAAGACCCTCCCAGAGCTGCCAGAAAAAGCTCGAACCAGGTCCCTGCTTCCTCGGCCAGAGTTGCTTTGCCCCCTGGTACTCCCCCCACAGGAGCACGTGAAGAAGGGCCCCTCACAGACCTGTCTGGCGAGGCCCCAGCCGGCCCTGAAGACCCCTCTGGTCC